GGGGGGAGTGCTTATCCTAGAGATTGGGATTATAAGAGGTTCAGGGAAATTGCTGATAAGTGTGGAGCGCTTCTTCTTTGTGACATGGCTCACATCAGTGGGCTTGTTGCTGCTCAGGTATTCAGTTGTTTTCTTGAATGATATGCAATTTTGTGAAATGTTTTTATTTTGTCACTATCTATTTTTGTGGGATTTTTGTTTTATGAATTTTTACTGTAGAACACTCATTTCTATTCTCAATTCTGTACCATTGCTGCTGTCCTTTTATTGTTAAAGATTCTTCTTGATTGCGTTTTTGGTGTTTTTATTTTTATGCTTCTTCTAATCTTCTTGATTGTGTGATATTCCTGCTGCTATGTTGAACTCAAAATTTCTTCTGGTAATACAAAAATACAGATCTTGAAAAATAAAATGCATTGACATAAGTTGGTTGCTCTGTCCTTAACAATCAATCTTGTACTTGTTTTAATTATAAAATGTACATTAGATCAATGCTTACAATAATGTTAAACTTTGTTATGATATTAATGGCTTTAGGAAGCAGCAGATCCATTTGAGTATTGTGACATAGTTACAACTACCACTCACAAGAGCCTTCGGGGCCCTAGGGCTGGTATGATCTTCTACAGGAAGGGTCCAAAGCCTCCCAAGAAGGGCCAGCCTGAGGATGCAGTTTATGACTTTGAGGACAAGATCAACTTTGCAGTTTTCCCGTCTCTGCAGGGTGGTCCTCACAACCACCAGATTGGTGCTCTTGCTGTGGCATTGAAACAGGCTATGTCACCTGGATTTAAGGCCTATGCTAAGCAAGTCAGGGCCAATGCAGTTGCCCTTGGAAATTATCTAATGACCAAAGGATACAAGCTTGTCACTGGTGGAACTGAAAACCACCTTGTTCTGTGGGATCTTCGCCCCCTTGGATTGACAGGTACTGGCGTTTTTGAATTAATTACCCAGTATAAACTGAATGTTAATAATCTCATTGGTACGAACATCTGTGGTTATGCAGGGAACAAGGTAGAGAAGCTTTGTGACCTATGCAACATTACCGTTAACAAAAATGCCGTGTTCGGTGACAGCAGTGCATTGGCTCCGGGAGGGGTTCGCATTGGTAAGAAATTGATTGTTTCAGGCAATGATTAGAGAATATACTTCTTTGAGATTTTTGAAGTTCAGTTGACATTGACTTTGCTAAAACAGTGGAAATATTGACAAATGACATTCTTGGAAGTGGAAGTATCATTGATCAATAATTTGTTTTCTTTTATTTACCTTCAAAAAATCTGGTCCATGCTTCTAGATCTATATTGAAGTTATCAGTGCCAGAACATGCATATAAAAAGTTTTAGGAAAAACCAATTAAATTTGCTTCATTGGCAAATTGTTATCCTGATTCCTTGCCTGATGTGTGATGCGAAAGATAGAAGTTACATATCTCAATTCGTGTTATCTCAGATCTGTGTCGGATGTAATGGGATTATTTGGTAATTAGGTATAAGTGACACTTGTATTGCCTGAAGGGGTTTACTCACGGATGGAGCTCCTAGTCCATTAATTACCTTTTCTAATGTTTAACGCATTTCTTGNACTTGTATTGCCTGAAGGGGTTTACTCACGGATGGAGCTCCTAGTCCATTAATTACCTTTTCTAATGTTTAACGCATTTCTTGGTGATTGTTTTAATTTTCCCTTTTTAACCTTTTTTTGAGATGATTGCGTGACAAATATTCATATTGGTAGGTGCTCCTGCCATGACATCAAGAGGATTGGTTGAGAAAGACTTCGAGCAAATTGCTGAGTTCCTCCACAGGGCTGTGACCATAACTTTGAATATCCAGAAGGAGCACGGGAAGCTTTTGAAGGACTTCAACAAAGGTTTAGTGAACAACAAAGATATCGAGGAACTCAAGGCTGATGTCGAGAAGTTTTCTGGCTCTTTTGACATGCCGGGATTCCTGATGTCTGAGATGAAGTACAAAGACTAAGATGGTTCTTGCATTGAAGAATTTGTTATTACTAGTACTTTTCTGGTGATTTGATTTGATTAAATCATAAAATTTCCCGCAAAAAGATTATAGAACTTTTGCTTGGAAGGGGAAATAATTTCCGCATTTTCAATCAGTTCTTTTGTTACTTTACTGTGTTGAAATACATTTCTTTTTTTACCTTTTGTTGTTGGAAAGATGTAGTTAGTCTCAAGTTTATGAAATTTTGAATGGGTATTCTACAATTTCATAACCTAATCAACGATTGTTTTTACCACTCTTCCACTTTTTCCGTTCTTCTTGAAGTTAACTAATTAATTTATTATGAATATATTATACTGCTCTCTCAATTTGTTACACGATAAGTGCAAGGAATATTCACGGGTATAGTTCAAGTACAGGATGGCCTAACTGTACGAAAATTCAGTTAAGACTTCTTAGCCGAACCTCTAATCAATCTGGACACACGGTCGAGAGAGATTTGACATTGACGGCTTGAAAGAAGAAAATGAAATGTGAAACGTGTACGTCGTAATAGATCAAAGTAAGGATTCCTTCTATTTTGCTAACTACAGTTGGTGTGCAATTGAAAGGTAAAAATGTTGCGGGGCTAGTGAAGATAATAATAAAAAATCGACCTTCGCTACCATTCAGGGATCCCCTCGAAACCTACTTTACTTTTTGACAAAATCAACCAAGCCTAGAATGCGATCACAATTTGAAATGGATTGTCCAATGAAAATTTATTCTTCTTCCACCGATTTCTCCCTTCAAGGTTCGATTCTTCAGCTCTCACTTGTAACTGAATTTTTGAGAATCGCTTCTCCCCCATGCACACTTTCAACCACAAATTCTGGAGACAAAATCATCACATATTTCCACAATTTTTTCCTACTTTTTAACAAGTCTAGACATGTGATAGATCGATCTGCATATTTCAATACCGTAACAACCCAATAAATGAGATACGAAAATTGGGGATCCAAACAGAGATTCATCTAAGCACGATTATTGGGACTGATATTGTATACCATTAGAAGCAAAAGCAATACTAGTATTCAAAGCATACAAAAAGTTGGGTTCGAGTTAATCCAACCCGCCCTACAACAAATAAGCGAAAAGGTTAGGCAATGAGAATGCTTCAAAATCCGTCGTTCGCCCCATTACCATACCCACCACGGAAACCTCCTCCACCGAAATTATTGCGAGGTGGTCTCTCAGTGGCAAGACTAACTCGGATATTCCTTCCATTCAGTTCTTGTCCATCCATGGCTGAGAGTGCTGAACTAGCACAGTCATCAGTTGAGAAGTTGACAAACCCGAAACCTCTTGACCTTCCCGTGTCTCTGTCAGTAATTACTCTAGCTGTTCAGCAAAAAGCTCGATGTCTTGAGAGTGCCATAAAAAAATGATTCAACAAAAACTTGTTGATTCATACAATTATTGGGAATGCGGAATATAATGGAGAGAAAAGTCAGAAATAATATCCACTCAGCCAAAATTAAAACCAAATCCATCTCTACATCAACTTGCATGAAATGAGACATAACTCACCTTCAACAACATCACCAAAGCCAGAAAATGCATCCCTAAGCGACTGGTCATCAGTTCCGTATGAAAGTCCTATCAAAAGAACACGGTTTAATTTCCAACAGAGCATAAAACAAAATTTGTCAAAGAATACTGATAAATTGCTAGAAAAAAGGTCTTTAAGGTACATACCACCAATAAAAAGCTTGGTAGACATGCAGCGAATGGCATTAATCATTGGTGTCTGCCCATGCAACGTATTGGTGGCGGAGATGTTATGCCTCAGCAGGGTTCCAATTTTGTTGTAGAATGCCATTTGCACAATAACCTGCAAGAATAAACAAAAAAAAAGTCTCAAGCATCGAAATCAATTTGAACAAATAACAGAATAGTTAAAACCTTGCTGGGTTAGAGAGACAGTAAATGCTCCCACTAGCAAGTAAAATCCAAAACCTAAATTAAATAAATACACGCATAAACTGATAAATGGAAATGCAGAAGTGCAATGAATCGTAGATTACACACCAACAAAGTGTGAAACGAATTTACATATAACCTCCACCATCATCATATCAAGAAAGCTCAAACAACACTACCAAGCCACATATTAAATAATCTTCTTCACAGAATCATTAAACCCAAAAAGCCCGACAGAACTATCAAATTTCAGAACAAACATACGAGTTAATGCATTAGCCAACACACTGAAACGCTAAAAAATAAAAATAAATAAATAAAAAATCGAAAGAATAGACATTAAAGCATAGAAATATAAAGACAACTCATCAATGAGAAATAATAATACCTCAGAAGATACAAAAATAATAAGACACATCAACCCCTCAAATTTAAATCAATTTCTAATGAAACTAATAAAATATTACAAGAAAATAATCCACATAAAAATACACATACAGAATAATGAAAAGGAGAAAGAAAAAATTGCGGTACAGAAACCCACTTACGGGAAACTAAACGAAAACTCAAGAAAATAACTAAACAATCCAAGCAAATATATACATACAAAAAAAATTGAGAAAAAACACAAGTAAAGAAACATAGAATCATAAAGGTCGCTATCTAAACTTAGATTTATGGAGTTTCAAGCAAAAGAGACGGAACCTGAAAAAAGAGAAGGGCTTAAGAAGAGAGCAGCTAGGGTTTATGCCACTCTTGTTGAGTTCGTACTCTGTGTTAATTACTTGCAGCATTTAAATGACAAGAGAAAAATATCTGTTAAATATTTTACTTTGGGATTAATTTAACGGATGGTACTGAACTTTTCACTTAGCATCATCTTGGTCACTGAACTTTAATTTATTTTGATATCATCACTGAATTTTACAAAATATTTTATTCTAACACCGATGCAATTTGACATTCATTTTTTAATTGAACATTCTACGTGTCTATTTGCTAAATTGTGGGGATTTTTTTTTCCTAAAGGTCATCTTAGAATTAGGATTTTGTAGATAAATTAAGGAATTTGTCTATATTTCTAACAATAACACTTTTATAGTACAAGGTGATTAATTATTGATAGAAGAAGATTGATATCAAAATTTTACTTTGTTATCAATCTCGTACTCTCTCCCTGTGTTTCTTTTAACATTCCAATGCTTCTTACTTTCTTTCTCAAAGATTTCATTAGACACTGAGTCGTAAAAACTAAAATGGAAGGTGTGTACATTTGCCTATTAACTAAATTAATTGAGTGCATTTAAAAGTATAAACGAATAACTAAATTATTAATGGGTGAAGTCTTAATATTAACCATGTGTTCCTTAGCCATCTAGTTTTATGTTAGGACGAAGTTTATCAAGACGATTGAATCGCTAATACTAAGATTACTTTAATTTGTGATAAAAAAAAAAAAAATCCAACTTATAATATACTAGAAATTTGTCCAAGGAGGACCGAGTTGGAGACAAAATGAGAAATAACTAGCTAGAAACTTATCTAAAATGCATATTTTTAATTAATATTTAAAAGCATCGTTATAGTACCATTACATTTATCATGTCATCGTCTACCTCATCTCTTACTATATTCTCGTTCCATGTAGTAATGGTACAATAGAAAGGAGAAGGGACGAAACATAGAAAATGGCAGAGATATCGAATGGATAAATGGAGGAAGCCAGGAGGAAAAAAAAACACAGCTACAAAAATTAAAATAAAGATTGAGGTAATGTTTCAAAAGCGACTTGCATTGTACTCCATCAGATTATCAGTGGCTTCCTATCATTGGATAGAGCTGATGAGTCCAATTATCAAACTTGCGCATCTAATCTCTCTAAAATTTGGATTGTATGCATAATTCTTGCTTGATACATATTTGCTAAACAAAAGAGAAACATGGATTTTAAAAATAATGAGAATCAACAAGGGCTTATTTTCACTCCACCAAACTTTCATTTTAAACCACATTCCAATTGATCATCAAAACTTCGATAACTAACAAATTGAACTTCTTACTAACATTAAATCGTTTCAACATATTACAACTACTCTATACGTGATTTAAAATTACATCTTAGTAGTTTATATCAATACATTTATACAAGTTTCACAATCATCTAAAAATCTAATTTCCAACATCTTCCTCACAACTGCATAACAATGTTACAAACATATATATTTATTTCTGTTTGTTTTCTTCTAATTTTTTTTGTTAAACTTATTTTTTTAATGAGTTTTAGTGACCAGACTATTTTGGCCCTTTATTAAAAAGGCATGTGCAGCCACTGGATTTAATGCCTGAATTGATCAGAAACAGTGAAGAGAGGGACTGGCTTTTGCTATTTTATTAATAGTCGGTTTAAAAGAAATGCAGCAAAAAATTAGTTAGGGACAAGATCCCAACTTTCACGAAAGGTTGGGGACTAAATATGCAATGCACCACTTGGTTCTAATATGATCAAAGTTGGAAAATGTAGACTCGAGTAGATAAAGTTCATAATTGATAAAAGCAAGCCATATGATTTAGGAAAATGAATTATAATTAATTATATTTTTCCAACATAAGTTAGTGATAATTAAAGGTCGCAATGGGAGACATGAAATACAATCTTAATTAAGTATTTGAATTTTAACAGCAATACTTGGTTCCAGGTTAGTGACTTTTGGCAACAATGCCCATGAATAGTTGTTGCTCAGCACATCCTCTTGAGATCAAATTCTTTATTCTCCTATAGAAGAAACAAGGCAAGGCAAAAAGGGGGAAAAAAAAAAGGAAAAAAAAAATGAAAGAAGAAAGAAGAAGAAGTGAAAGACAATTAAAGAACAAATAGACAGTAAAAGGCGCCATATCCAGGTAACAGGACAGGACGAGAAAGTTGTAAAGAGAACATAATAGAAAAGATGTGGGAGAAGTGAGGATACAGACTCAAACAGGAAGAAAGAGAAATCATGCTTAAAACCCAACATACTCTATCCATAAATAGCAGATAAAAGTAAACAGAATTATTACTTAATTGTCCAAATGCATAAATATCAGTAGTCCACACAAAGCAAAATTGAAGACTGAGCTATACATTTCCTCAAACAAAGCAGTCCATTTCACTAGGAAAACCACACTTCTGTCTAACACAAAAGTCAGAACAACTCGAATAAATTCGAAGCAATTATTCCAGATTTTGCATACTTTCAACGAAATTACACTCTGACATAATCTACACTAGTGACGAGCAAAATTATAGATATTATGGTGCTGTCAGTAAACCCTTTCGGTCTTTAATTAATAGGTCTCTATAATCATAATCCCCGATTCACTTGTCATCTCCAAGTGAACATGATTCTTCATTCAACAGCATTCCCCGATTCACTTGGATCTGTAGCTCTGAACTACCCCCACAGGGAGCAGAATTATGAAAATATCTCCCCTAACAAGTGAAGGAACCATGAAATTGAGTCCAGAGTGACAAGTGTAGCTACTTGACTGGATCCACAGTAAGTATATAAATATTCTTCCTATCTTGCTTCCTTCTAGGGAGTCCCACAGTATATAAAGCAAACGGTCTTTTAATTCTAATTCTAATGGAAGCACAATTCTTCATTCAATAGCATTTGATAAATGTCTATTTCAATAACATCAAATGTTTGGCAGACCTTTCAGGAAAATCGTTACACAATTACAAAAGCTTATACATACGAGGGTCATGCTACATATATACTAGCGTAAACAGGAATTTATTTTCCAAAAATAAGTAGAAGTGAAATTTTAAAGAAAGTTCACATACTAAGCATTAACAAATATTTATTTACTGGTTAAATATACACTGTTAGCAACTAAATTTATTGCTAAGTTTCATGCCAGTCACCGAACATTATTTTGTTCCGAAGTGGTCACCTATGTTTGCTTTTTTGTTTTAGTTTAGTCACTCAATTCAAATCCATTAGGTTTTTTTAACAATATGTCCTTTAGTTTTTAGAGGAAAATCAGACGTGGCATCAACATGGAAGCGGGCAAGGTCAAAGTAAAATAACAATCTTCAAAAATTACATGGACAGGACTGCAAAAAATGACTGAAAGTGAGAAATCACAACGATTAACTAGCTTTCACTAGTACTAAAAATAACAGCTATTTATGAATGACATAATGAAGAGGCTCCCTTATTTATTATTATTATTTTTTTTTTTTATAAAAACTGTTTTCTACAAAAAGCCAACAACCAATGATTAAACAAAAATAAAAAATAAAAATTACCTGTGTATGAAAACAAATTACTTTGACTGAGAAATTAAGAACAGTAAGTTAGCCAATCTGCTCACACTCAACAATGAGGAAAAACGATGCTAAACCGTCTGGGGACATCGGGCTCCAGTCAGCTCTAAAGAGACTTGCCTAAACCAAACAACTTCCAAGCGGAAAAAGAACAGAGAATGGAGGTGGGGAAAAGAAAAAAAAAAGGAGAAGAGAAAAGAAACATAGAAGATGAGGAAGAGAGCAAGGAAATATTTATAGATATTAACAAGCTTAAATCTCTTAAGTTCTTTTAACCCAAAATTTTTCAGCTTACACACTTCCTGGGTCAAATATTTGTTGAACAGCATAACAAAAGATCCTTTGGTTTAACTTCTAAAATCTACTGCTGTATACCTTTTATGTACCATCAGTAAAAATTTGACCCAGCAAATTCATCTGATTAACCGCCATTAGAGATCAGCCTCAATGCCTGCATCTTCATGGAATGTAACAGGCCCACCAAAACCGTTAAATGAAAATTGGAATTGGAACCATGTTAACCATGTCGGATAAACCATCAATCCCAGAAGTAATCATCCATTAGGTCATAAGTGAGGGGTGTGAGCCATAACAAAACCTATCTGACTCAAGGGAATAAATTCATCCCAATTAACTTAGAACAGGTTTTGTGTCAGTTATGCTTGCATAATCTTCTTCCTTCAAAGTTTAGGTTATTCGGGGAATAGCCAAAAAAGGAGGAAAGAAAAGTATGAAAAATGTTAAGAGATGATACATGATCTCAAGTCAACATCATCCAGCTTAAGGGGGAAGGGGGAATCCCAAACAGAATTAGGAATCACACAATAACAGAACAAGCAGTCATATAAGTTCTTAAGTAGACTGACAAATAAGAAAAAAAAACTACCTACTGATAGAGAGGTTTTAATCCAGCATACATCAAGCTCGTTAAAAAAACAGGCACAGTTGGATCTGAGGTTGGAGGTTTTAATATGCAACTACAGCTTCAAACTTCGCCACCCATAAGACCTGCAAAAGAAACAAATACAAGAATGCCATTATCATTTGAACAGTAACAAACCATCTAACCATCTTGATTGCCAAAAGAGAACGAGCAGTCTCTTATGAGATGGTTTTCTTCCACAAACTGGGTTCACAAATTGACCATCCTAAACCATAGACCTCAAGAAGAAGCACCGACGCATATATTTCTTCAATGCAACTTCATTCCATCACTGAGGCATCAGTTCTCTCGAAATCACTGTCAATCTCTTTGGAATTCTTTTGAAGACCTCCATAACTTCCATCCTCATCAACCTTCACAGTCATGGAATTCTTCAAGCCTGTATCACTTTCCACATAGGCATTTTCAGATTTCATGGGTGTCTCGCCTAGATCTTCACCTTTACTTACCCCAACACCGACATAATTGATATTATAATTATTTTCTACAGATTTTGACCTAGAGCGCTTTCGGTGTTTGGATTTGTGATCTTCGGTCCGTTTTGGAGATGTCTTACTGGCTTTATGTCGCTTTCCTTCTGTGGACCTTGACCTGGACCGCCTTCTTTCATGGTGTCTCAATTTCTCTTCTCTCCTCCTATCCAATTTATGAGTAGAGCTATATTTATTCTCCGCAGATCTGGATCTGGAACGTCTTCTGTGTTTTTTCAATTTGCTTTCATCTGAAGCTCTTCCAGACAATTTACCTCGTCCGTGACTCTGATCCTCTGTCGACGCTGACCTGTGGCGCCTCCTAGCCTGATGCTTGGAACTTTCGTCTCTGTTATCATCTATCTTATCTTTAGACTGATGCTTAACTTCAACAGACCTTGACCTAGAGCGTGTTCTATGTTTTGGTCTGCTTACATCATCTTTTCGGGATGGCGACCTTCTCCGGTGATGTCGAGGGGATCTTGAATCAGCATAAACTGATTTCCTTGTCCTCTCCGTTGGACTTTCTCGACGGCGTGGAGGTGAGTCTGAATCATCTCGATATGACTTCTTAGTTCGAGGGCTCACACTCCTACTCCTATTTCTCCTGGAACCAGGAGAGTGGCGGTCATGCGATCTACCTGATTTGTGCCACCTGCTGCTATCACTGCCATCCCTACCATCCCTGTAGGATCTCCAATCTTTTTCATAGCTAGAGTAATGGTGAGATCTTACTGGTGATCTGGATCTATAATCTCTGGCTCGGCGAGGTGGTGGTGAGAAAGAGCGTGACCTACGCCTCCTACGATAACCGACGGGAGATCTTGACTTGGACCTTGACCTGGCATGGTCAGCAGACGGTGACCTAATACATTATATTATCAGTAACCAGTTTTAGAGTTAATTTAACGTCAATCTAGCTGTAGAAATCACTATAATGACTGAAACCTGTTCATTGTCGAAAGTACATCTAGGAAAGTTAATGGCTACTTGAATAAATATCAATTTATAGTTAGGCATCAGATCTGAAACAGGTAAGAGCAACAATCACCCCCTCAGCCACCATCCCCCCAGCATGCATGTGCGTGCACACATCAAAAAAAAAAAAAGCAAAGAAAACATACACTGCTAATCCAGTCCCATATGGTGAAGAGCTCTGGAGATCTGCAGATTTAATATATGTACATTTCAAGCCAAGAATCAACAAAATGAAGGAAGCTCCAACTGGACCTAAGAAACAGAAACTACATGACTAAAGCTGGAGTGGCAGCTGGGATATAGGAAAAGGTTATCATCCAGATTTAAGTGCCTAATATGGAATTGGAAAAAAATAAAAAATCCACAGTTTCAAGGTTTATATAACTATTACCAAACTGAGATAACTCCAAAACTATCCCACGTTCCGTAAGTTAGAAACCAAAATAAGTTAACAACAAAAACGTGACATGTTTGATTTTTATTCTGAAAGGGGAAGTGAGTAAGCAAATGAATTTCCCTGGAACAAGTCTAAACATAGGGAAAAATCCACATCACACATGGGAGTGTTTTTAGACATTAGAACATAAAGCGAATTACAATAAGTCTGAAATATAGTTTCATGCTTTTATAACGCATAGGTTTATCAGTTTAGCAATTAAAAGCAAATTTGTTTTGCCCCGTTAAAAAGGTACTTGCAGTAGAATTATAGTCCTCGTTACTGAAGAAACCAAATACCAATTCTCTGTTTTTAACACTACTACATGTTTTAGGAACCAAAATCATTATAGAAATGGTGCATTCAAATGAATTTTTTTATTTTTTTATTTTTTTTGGGTTCAACTGGTCCATGCATCAGAAAGCAGAGAAGAAATGCTGGAAAATAAGCCTTAAATAGAAGTAAAGAACACATGAAACCAGCTTCAAATAACTATGAGAAAGAGAGTAGCAGATGTCTAAACAACTCAAATTTGAGCAGCCCCCCACCAGATAGCATAAGTGCAATGGAAACTGGTTTTAAACATTTATCCATACTTAAATGGAAGCATCATAAGTACACATAAGAACAACTTTCATTTGACGTTTTCATTTTAGATGAGTAATTTCTTACCATAATTCAGCATTTACTTCAATGAAACAATACTAAAGATTAGAGTCGTCCCAAATCTCTTTTTCCAATTTTCATACATAAAAACCACGCAATTATATATTTTCTATTATTGAAATTAATGTTCTTCCTTTTTTATTTTTAAACATAGTAGATATGCAATAGAAAATACATGAGCATCTCCGGATGATAACAAATTTGAGCATGCACAGTGGTAAGACACGGCAAATTGTACAAACGGCTTTAGGAATTTTAATCAAATTATTCTTGGGGTACATAACCCCTTACCTAAGGGTGTCCAAAATGGACACCCGGCGCCCCCCTATTGGAGCGTCACCTGACACCGTAATGTGCCCCCCACCCCCGCACATGTACCCCAAGAATAACCCATTTTAATCATTGTGTATTATTAGGGGATTCTGTTCCAGCCATAATTTGACAATACACAGTCAAACAGGGGAGGAGCAGAAATTAAACGTGATTGTTAAAAGTTCCATTTGGAAGCCAAGAAAATGGTATTAGTGTACAAAGTGAATTTACTACGTATGTGTAATCACTCAAGCAGAAGCTCTAATGTGGAAACAGCAGAACTTTTTCAAAATTATGCTAAACAACTACCAGACAACCTTTTTTGGCCCAAGAATATTGCAAAAACCCGAAATCGTGACAAATTGTTTTAAAATTTTGAGCGCTGCATTGATCAAATTACCATCAAAGATGTCAAGGAAAAACCTTGAACTAATATCTCAGGACAGTAAATACAACATACCTAGAATTTCGATCCGATTCCTTGTCCTCAGCGACAATTCCATCAGGTTGCAGCTTCTTACTTATTTCTGCAGCCCTAGCTGCAGCTAAATCTGTTGCAGACTTCATTGTTGCTGCTCGATTAGCTGCCTGCTGAGCAGTCAATGTCTGTTGCATTAACAATGCCTGCTGAAATTGCATCTGTTGCATGGCGACAGCTTGCTGCATCACCGTCGGCAAAGATGATTGTGAATTTAAAACAGGCTTTGGAGGGAGCGATTTTGCTATTTCAACATTTAATGGACGACCCCCAACTTCCATATTGTTCAATGCCAAAGCAGCAGTTGCTTCTTCAGGTTTTGAGTATTCTATGTAAGCAAAATGTTTTGAATCAGTGATAATACAATCAACAACTGTGCCAGTAAAAGCAAAGAGTTGTTTTAACTGATCCGCTGTTAGAAGTGGACTGAGATTGCTAACTTGCACAGTATTTTTCAGGGAGTCAGCCTTTTCCTTGTCAGATGACCCTGATAGACGGCAGGCATAAATAGTTAAGAATACCAAATGTTCTAATGAATCAAGAGCACTAAATATCTAATGGCAACCCAAATAAAAAATGCTTTCAGGAAAAAAAATAAAGAGATCTAAAATGTCAAGTGTTAAGTAAGTACTATTGTGGGATGCAAAAACCATTTCCAGTACCAGATGAAAAGAAAGAACCAAAGCAAAGTTACGAAAATAAAAAACAAACTAAGCTTTGCTACCAATAAAATTGGGATCAGCTACATAAATTATTTTTGAGAATCTGTTCGGTTCATTGCTACATCTTATCATGCATAGACATGTGTGTCCGACCCAACACATTAATTAAATTCTTTAAAATTCTTCATTTATATAGCCCTCGTTTGGTCCCAATTATTTCCAAAATACACTCTTTTATTTTTAACCACTCATTCTTCAATAAAATAATATTACACGCAAATCAAAAAAAATTCCTTATTTATTTCTCTCTTATTTTTAACCACTCATTCTTCAATAAAATAATATTACACGCAAATCAAAAAAAATTCCTTATTTTTTAACCATACATTCTCCATCAAAATACTATCCAAAATGCATTTAGGGCAAAAAATGAGGCTCAAACAGGCTCATAATATAAATTCAGTTTTACAGCATGTTAGGTTTGGATTAAAATCTGATTTTAATCTAAATCAAAGTAAAAAAGTTAATATTAATCACATCATTCATGAGTCCTACAATTTTTCAACCACACATTTTAAAAACTTCTATCACAATTTACTAAAAAATCTAAAATTTTAATTTCCCCCAAACACCCACTTATACTTGTTATTAATTTTTATTGTTGAAATATTATAAATATGAGAATTTATTTGTTATTTATAATAACTTTGAGTTAAATATATATGATTTTATTTTAAGAAAGAAAAATAATTATGGTAGAGTGTCCGAAAAATGTTGGTACACGTATAGGACACGGACACGCCACCCTAGTTGAAGTGTCCTACATCTCAACAAAAAGGGAGATATATTTTAAAACGTCTCTCAGCGAAAAAGATATTTGCAATTGAATAAGAAAATTTTTGCTACAATGACTAATACGAGCCATCATCATCATGGTAGAGGCACCAAAATTATTAAAAAAAAATAAAATCACGATTGCTGATCCTACCAGAAGAGCTTTTGGTGGACTGAGCTTGAGCCTGTGCCTGAGCTTGAGTAGCATGGGCTTGAAGAGTTTGAGCAGCAACAATTGCCTGAGCAGCAGCCATTGCAGCAGCAGAAGGTGCCATGGGCACTTGGCTGAGAGTTCCCATCGTGGTGGTGGCAGCTAAAGCAGTCATCAGCAGATTGTGAGGGGGGTGATTGAGCTTACAATCAGTTTTCGCACACTGTCCATTAAGATACTCGCGACAAACTTCCCCTAGAGAAGCTCCAATTCCAGGCAAAACAGCACCACCTGAAGCTCCAGAAACAACACCTGGAATCATTCCAAGCAACCCAGGAAACGCACCAGACACAGAACCCAAATAATTTGGCATGTTCGGCATGGTTTGATTAACTAAATTCGAAAATGAAGCTGCTGGAGCCATGCCAAGAAGCCCTCCAGTCGGAGTTCCTACATCACACAAATGCCAAATTTCCAACTTGTTACAGCATCTAATTATTATTTAAATTCACAAAACAATTCGGTTCTTAGCAGTATAAAAATGTGATCAAGATATGGACATGGTTTCATCTTCAGTCCAGAAATGCTACCTTCACAATAATCAGTATATGATATATAAATGATATACAAAGGAATCACAAGTTATTTTAATCTACTAACTGATATACTCAATAATGAGTACTCATTAAAATAAATAAAAGCATTATGACAGGCTAAAGACCAAATCAATCTTTATAATTGCTACAAAAAAAAAAAAAGGAACTTTACAATAATTATGAGATATAAAACATAATGCATTGAAAACATATGTAAAACCTGAATGATCAAAACATAATGCATTGAAAACATATTTAAAACCTGAATGATCACAAACTAGTAGAACTTTGAGATTAAGGGCCTGTTTGAACCACATTATTCTAAAAAAATACATTATTAAACAGTAATTTGACATCATTTCAACCATACATTTTTTAATAAAATAATATTACACGCAAATAAAAAACTTTTCCTTATTTTTTAACCATATATTTTCCATCATTACACCATTCAAGAATGCATTATTACCAAAATAATGTGGCTCAAACACCCCCCTAAATATATTATCAACAGCAACTCAACAAATGCCACTTTAGAAATCATGAGGGTGATGAAAACGTCAATTTTGACATTAAATGACCACGCAATATGCACATGATGTCCGACTGAAAGGGTAAATTTATTCATAACAAGAGCAAAGTTTAATGTAAGTTGTACGTTACAATTGGATTTTTTAATAAAGGAACTCTTTTTTTCTTCTCTTTTCTTACAATTTTCCCCCTCAGTCAAGTCATGTGCATTTTGGTCACCTGTAATGGGCATGTCGCGGACATTTAGCGTCTAAATGTCTAGACATACACTCACGTCGTTAATGGCTGCCACACTTATGATAAGGTTGGAGACCCCTGCAGGAATGTACCCTAACAAAATTTATGCATGCTTGCACTCGACTCGAATGCACATAGGTATATAAGAGATTGGCATCCAATATTCAATCCATCAAAGAATAATAACAGCCTGAAAACACAAGTTCATATGAACATTAGCCCATAGTACAGTGTGCAACGAGTGAGGGGGGAACCTGAGCTGAAGAAGACAGGAAAAGGGCTGCCCATAATAGGCTTCCCATTGCACTCCACATTCACCATGTAATTCCCTCTCTTCGACACCACATAAGTGGCAGTATAAGTCCCATCATCCATATCCTTCACAACCCCATCCTGCTCCGATCCCCCGACCCCGACCCCTGGCACAACCCGCACCTTCACCTGTGCCCCGCCCCGCATCACCTTTCTTCCCTCCGTATCCTTAGTCACGACGATAAAAGTGGCCCCCGCGCAAGCAGTCCCGCCCGCAATACCCGCCCCTTGTGCCGTGCACTTTGCAGGGTCCACTGGCCCTGCCGACCGGTTACTATCCCGAGATATTTCCTCAGAATCTGAATCAGACGACGTCGCGGCGGAAGGATATTGTGGATGTTCAGATTGTTGGGAATTTTTGTTGAAGGTGGCCTCAAAAGCAGCTTTGGCGGCGGCGGCTTTCTCGGCTTCATTCTTCAGCTTGGCTTCCTCGGCTTGCTTCATCCATATCGGCTTGGCCACGGCAGCCGCTGGATTGCTGTTACTGCTATTGTTGGTCCGATCCGCCATTGATGATAGCTAATGGATCTTCCTTCGCGGAGAAATTACAGGAATTGGGGAAAAGTTTAACGAGAAACCCGAAGTTATGTTATTATGCTTTTGGGGGAAAATGGAGAAATACATGAAAATGCCTTTGCACGTTAGCAAATTTTAATATTGGCTTTTGATCCATTAAATAAATAAATAAAAAGTTAAAATATAAGTTTACATTAAAATGGCGATTTTACCTTTTACTATGCACCGACTGTTAGAAAAAATTCAAATCGACCGATCGATCGAACTTCGAAAAAAATCGACGTCAACTGCCTGAAGAACGACCGATCAACCGCTAGCTGAAAACACCAATGTTCAATCCGTACCTGCACGCTACTATTTCGGTTAGTTTTGGCGCTCGAAGTTTATTATTACAAGTTTTAGTTTTTAGATTCATTATTTTTACGTTTAGTCGATTTAAATTCATCATCATGTAAAATTATTAGATTGTGGGTGTGAATGGGTGAAAATGTGAATTTTTTGTAATTTTTGGACCTCTTCATCGTCGACAATGGGGAAATCGCCTGCGGGAAGACGACGACTGTTAACAGTCGAGTAATAGTCGGCTCAATCATTGTTAACAGTCATGGGCCGACAGTTAAACAGTCATGATCCGATTGTTAACAATAGGTCCGATGACTGTTTAATTATTTTTTTTTTTTAATTTTTTATAATTAATTTATTTTTTTATTTGATTAAATAATTATGTTATTTATTTATTTAATTTTTATAATTGTCTTTTATTTTATTTATATAATTTAATTATTTAATTTTTATAATTGTCTTTTATTTATACAATTTAATAATTGAATATTATCTAAAATTAACAATTTATTTTGTTCCTTTTATTTTTCTTTTTATGAAATAATCTTTGAATTTTTTTTTCAAATTTATTTAGATAATATATTTATTTTTAAAATTTTTTAAAAATGTATTTAATTTGAAATTTTTTGTTCGCAAATATATTTTTCAAATGATTACAAGATTAATTTGATTAAATAATAATTATGTTAATTTTTTTATAATTCCCTTTTTTTATATAATTTAATAATTGAATAGATAATGTTGTTCGAAATTAACAATTTATTTTGTTCCTTTTATTTTTCTTTTATGAAATAATCTTTGATTTTGTTCTAATTTATTTAAATAATATTGATATTCTTTATTTTTTAAATATATTTAATTTGAAATTTTTTTGTATATATATTTTCCAAATGTAATATACAAGATAAACTAAATTATTATAATTTTTAAATTTGCATTGAATTTATTTTGTTATTAGCGTCAATGTCTTGCGTATTGTATGATAGTTATAATTCGGTTGCCTTGATTTTTTGAGATTATGCATTACTTTATTATCTATTATTCAATGTTCTAACATTTAAATTTTTGCAGGATGGAGTATCATTTAAATGGGGAGTTGAGATGGATGGCGGGGAAAGTTACTTGGAACAGTAGTTTTGAGAGTTTTACTACGGTGTTAGAGCTGATTGATGATTATCACGGAGATATGTTATGACAGTCCTTCTTGTGGCCACTGTACCAGATGCGAGAGGTGCAGTACTCAGGACAGATTATCGATGCACTTCTATGTCGGCTCTTTGAGGCCAGTCGATGGCGATTCCCTCCATTTCGACCTGGGGCAAGGTCGTCAGTTTCTCTATTTATAAGTTTAGCTTGATCACTGGACTGAGGATTAAGGGCGACGATGCAGCCATTGAGAGAAGCAATAGGCTGTACGAGACGTACTTCCAGGGACATGGGTCAGTGCATCTACCCGAGTTGATGGTCGCGATTAGGGGATGCGACCAGATGCTAGATAGATTGAAGTTTGGGTTGGTCTACATCCTCGAGAGTGTGATGAGGTGTCATCACAAGAAGACCGTCATCGACATTTTTCATTTGGAAGTTGTTGACGACATTGATGCGTTTAACAACTATCCATGGGGCCAGAGATGCTACGAAAACACCATACATGTCTTCACCAGATTACACTAGAGGCCCGGGGGGTCAATGCGTAAATACGATACATATGGGTTGTTCTTAGCGATGCAGATAAATGTTTAATATAATTAAAGTTAGAATTTTAGTATATTACATTTATGTATAATAAGGGTATGTGTTGCAGATTTGGGTGTATGAGATAGTCCCTACACTGGGAGCCCGCTTCGTGAAGCGAGGGGAGACACGATTCTCTCAGATGCATCATTGGAGATCGTCGCGAGCGGAGGGATGTCCCACTGGGAAACAGTTATCGACCCTCCTTGACGTTCCTCAGGTAAGTATTATACATTTGTGATTTATATTATACGTTGTTTAAATCTGTTTATATGATCGTTAACTAGTTCAAATGTCTATGTCAGCTTGAAGTCATTCATGAGTTGTCGCCGTCGATGGAGGAGGAGGCTCAGGGTTTTGTGCGGGATGTAGGTGTTCCGCACACCGAAGACGAGCAGATGTCTGATGCGAGTGTGGACCGAGATTGGGTATATGAATTAAATATAATTTATTGAATATCGTTGGCGTATAAATTTATTTAATAATTTTTAATGTTATTTATGTAGGAGGGTTGTCCAGCTGATCGACGATCGCCGCCACCATTGGCATCGCCTCCGCCGAGGGCATCGCCGCCGCCGAGGGTATCTCTTTCTTCCTCGTCCAGACATGTCCCCCATGTATCACCGACACACACTGATGATTTGTATGCCCATCTGACTGGATTTATAGCGGAGGAGGTCGACGCGCTACAACGAAAGTTGACGGAGAGGGTCGATGATCTGGGACGAGAGTTGATCGAGAGGGTCGACTATCTAACAGGAGGGTCGACAATATGGGATGAGAGTTGATAGGGATCTATCGCATGATATTGGAATGTTACGGTCTTGTGTTGTCGACCTTCAGTATGCGATAGCGACACTTGGAGGAGATTTAGCCGCTAGGCGATTGGGGGACAGAGGGGATGGTAGAGATGATCAAGAGGATGGCAAAGATGGTGATGGAGAGGGGGGTCACCCACATTTTTGGCATGACGAGACATTAGAGTCATTCTGGTTGTCTGTGGAGGGAGATAGGGTGGCCTCGATGGGAGGGGCGAACGGGGGGAGGCACCGATGGGAAAGACGGAGGAGGTGGCGACAGAGGGGGAGGCCCCGATGGGAGGGGCGGAGGAGGTGGCGACAGAGGGGGAGGCCCCGATAGGGGGGACGGATGAGGTGGTGACGAAGGAGGGGCCCCGGAGGGCGAGAGGACGCCATCGTAATTGAGGGTAAGAGACATGCTGTTTATGAAACGAAGCATGTGGTCGGCAAGAGGTTGAGAATATCGTCACAATATGTTGTTTCCCCCTTCACGGCTGAGGTCAAGAGGAGAACGTTCATCGATGGGACGTACCCGAACTTATTCAGAGAGGTGGACACTGCCAAGTGAAAAGCATTCGAGACGGAGTGGAAGAGAATTATCCCCCGGTAAGTATTGTATGATTTTAATAAAGTACGGTACGCTAACTCGTCTATGCTTATTTTAACATTTCCCTATTTTTTCAGAGCTACCCGAACGATAGGTAACCGGATGGTCTTGGACACTTACAAGTGGTTCCACGATATTACGACTTCGGGAGCTTAGCTCGCCATTGATGTAAGTGAACTATTCATTTCGTGTTTTGTATGTATGCATCACTTTGTGTTCATTAAATGAATAACAAATATTTTTTTGATGTTTCTTGATGCAGCACATCGACCTGGCCATGGACTTGTTGCGAGATCGAGCTCAGAGACAACCAAAATCATTTGACGTCCATGGTCGAGTCATATTAAACACCGAGTTCCTGCGTGCCGTTACCATAGAGTATCAGTCGCTCCAACTTATGGGTAACAAGTACACGGTGCCAGAATATATGCTCGAATGGGTCATAGGATTGTAGCCGAGTGTCGGGGGAAAATCATGAGAGGGTTGTACACATATGTACATTCCAGCGTGCATCAATAGGCACTATGTTACGCTGGAGATCGTTTTTGCTGACAGGACTATATATGTGTACGATCCAGATCATTCATGTTTGACGTAAGGCCAGTTGGAGCAAAACTTGGAGTCCATAGCTGTAATTGTTCCTATGATGGCCAGACAAGCGGGGATGACTGTACATGACAGATTGCAGATTGTTCGGAACACGACGACATCGCGACAGTCCGTAAGGTAAGTGTTTGAACTTTGTTGTTTTCATCTTTCAGATTTAGTTTTTTAGCTACACGATACTGAACTGATCCATTCTTGTTCAATTGTAGCGGCGACTGCGGCATATTTGCCATTAAGTACGTTGAATTTTTAAGTATAGGACATAATGTTGATGGAATCAACTAATCGTGGATACAGAACTGGAGAAAGAAGTTAGCATATAATTTGTTCGAATTTAATGGTGACCCGTAAATTTGTATTAAATATGTGCAACATTCGAATTGTAAATTTAATTATTTCTTGTGATTATGAAATAATTGTAAATTTGTGTTCGGTGTATCTAACATTCACATTGTAAATGTAATTATTTTTTTATTATAAAATAATTGTAAATTTGTGTTTAATGTATGTAATTATTTTTCTGTAAGTTGATTTTTTATTATTTTACACATATGCTGAGAATGGAACTAATTTTTTCATATGAATCATTGTAAGTACCGTTTATCAAGAATAAATATAGAACATTGAACATTTATGAAGAACAAATATTGAACGTACCTGTCTAATCGTCATTTAGGGAAATTTGACCGGTACAAAATTGTCGAGCATGCCCTATGGCTCTGCATCTGCCATACCTATGCGGTCGATGAAACTCTCCGGTAGATGGTATTCTAGATGTACTTGGACGTCCAGGACCACGTCGTTCAACTGCTGGTGGCAACAAATCATTAAACGAGGGAATGTGCTCTGGAACTTCCCACTCTGTTTCATTCGACAGAGGAAATACAGTCTCCGCATATGCTGTTCTCCAAGACTTAGTCGTATAATACAAAGAGCATAACGTTCTCGCTGCAAAGCCTCGATACATGGCCACCGCAACTGCATGCTCACATGGAAAACTCTCCAACTGAAATCTCGTACAAGT